ACATTGTAATTGATTGTGATAGCATATACAGTGACATGTCATACATTTTGTAAGTCTTTCACGTTAAGTTGTTTTCCCATTGGATTCTATGTTTATTTACTTTTCTTAAGTATATTTTCCTGACTTAGTTTTCAGTCAAGTTGACGAGATTTGCCACACAATTAGAGAAATATCCTGTGCATCTATATAATATAATATTACCAGAATAAACCTTGGATAATTTTCTAACAGAATATAAAGTTTTTTTAGAAATGAACGTCAAACAAAGTTTGGAAATGTTTTTGAAAAATAAGTAAACTAACATTGAATCTAACGGGAAAATGACTCAACGTGAAAGACTTATGACACGTCACTGTATATAAATTGTTAACAGTGTTATTTATATGAATGCACAATACTGGTACACCTGTATCCCATGTTTCAGTTCATATTATGAAAAATTTGCCCGAGTTCTGATGAAATCATTTGTTTTACTCACCTGGCCCAAATTTAAAGGGTCAAGTGAGCTTATGCCGTGCACGTGGTGGAGAGTCAATCAACTTTTTCCTTTAAAGTCATTAACGGCTAAGTGGAGTTTTACCAAATTTTGTCTTGAGCATCCTTGGTCAAAGGGTTCTCAATTTTGTATAGACAGATCAAAATCATGTAAGGCTCCCTCTGGGGGCAGAGGGGCAGGGCTGAATAGGGGAAAAATGATGTAAATCTTTTCCTTCTAATGCAGGGATTTTGACCAGAATGAAATTTGTTCTAGAGTATAGATCTATGAACAAACGCAATTCAATTTTGATTTAATGAAGGGTGTGCTGGGACAAAGGGGCAAGACCCAATAGAGGAAATGTTATAGCGATAAATCATTTGAAAGCTTTCTCCTTCTGTATGAATAGATGGATTATCACCATTTGTTTCAAATCATCTGTGGGCAAAGGGTACTATATTTTGTATAAATAGAGGATGTGACCCCCTTGGGGCAGTGGGGTTAAGCCCAATAGGGGAAATATAAAAAGGAAACAGTTTTAATTTTGGTCAAGAGAACCTATATGCAAAGACAACAGAATTGTGTATTCAAACTGAAAGGTATATAAATATAAACTTTATGTATTTCACAACAACTATGAAACAAGTTATTTCAACTTATATTTATCACTCTTGTTGGCCAGGATGTAAACAATAAACCAGAGTTCCCAGGGAAAACCCATGTACCCTAGTCGGGCAGGTGACCCCAAACCTTTTCACACCTGATCAGAGAATCAAACCCTGACCGCCTTGGTGAACGGCCATTGGGTTATTCACTGTGCAACCCAACCACCCCTAAACTGAACTGGAAGTTGTGGCCCCCTGGGGGCAGACGACGGAGCCCTATTGAGAAATAGAGCTAAATATTTAAAATCCTTCTCCTTCTGTAGGAATGGAGGGATTTAAACCAAATTTGGTCTTTTAATTATGTGTCCTTTAACAAGTGGGACTCAATTTTATATAAATTCAGTGTATGGCCCCTAGAGGAGAGGGTTGGGGTCCAATAGGTGAAATAGAGGTAAATCAATAAAATCCTTCACCTTCACAGGAATTGAATGGTTTTTTCCCCACCCTATAACCAAATATAAAATTGCTAGGCATATCATGAAGAGAAGAAAACATCAATGCTTGAACATAACAGTGGAGATCTCCAGGGCATAACCATATACACAAAATATCTAGGCATGATAACCATATACACAAAATATCTAGGCATGATAACCATATACACAAAATATCTAGGCATGATAACCATATACACAAAATATCTAGGCACGATAACCATATACACACAATATCTAGGCATGATGAATACACTTGTGGTCTTTGTGTCTTGCCCACCCAAACACATTTTAAAAGTAGCCCTCCTAGTAGCTTGTTTTTCTTGTAACGGTACTACTTTGATTAACTTGTATAGTACTCCACAGGTTTTAAATTGAAAATAGATAAGGCCCCTGGGCCTTTTGTTCTACTTATCAAACTGTGTTTTTCTGTAACAATGCATTTTCCTTTACCGATAATCTCAGGCATGCTAGATCTGCCTGTTTAAGTGTGTGTTAATAAGCTTTCTACATTTTAGTTTATATTTTTATGGCTTGTAGAAAGTACTTTGTACATGTTGCTCATTAACTGAATTTTAAAAAAAATAGAAAATGAAATTTAGAAAATTAACATGAAATTTTTATATGTCAACATTAATATCCTATCACATCTCTAAATGTGGAAGAAATATTCTTTAGATGAATATTGTAATGAAGAAATGAAAAAAAATAATGCTGTCAGTTATTTTCATGAAGTGGATAATATATGATGAGGTGTACATGTTCTGTGTACCCCACGTCACCTGCTAAAACATTTGAGTGACCTGACTTAACGAAATAGGCTCTAATAATAGACCCACATACTGTTGATATTCAAGATATAAAGGAAATGAATGCTTAAGACATGTATATTGTTTTATCATAGTAAAAAACAATGATGTGCCTGTAACTAAATAGGAATCCATATTAACATTTTTCGTCAAAAAAAGTTCCATTTTTGGTAAAATGACATAATGATGAGTGTCAGAGTCTAAACTCAAGAAGAGTCTGACCCCCTATAGGGGCTGCATGAGGGGTGGGGAGATATAATGGGTAAGGAGTCATAGAATGTAATCACACTCATCACACTCTGTACACATGTAGTCTAGCCAACATTGGACCTGGTCAGACCTGTCACCAGTTCATCACACTCGGTACACGTGTAGTCGAGCCAACATTGGACCTGGACAGACCTATCACCAGTTCATCACACTCTGTACACATGCAGTCTAGCCATCATTGGACCTGGACAGACCTGTCTCAAGTTCATCACACTCTGTACACATGTAGTCTGGCCATCATTGGACCTGGACAGACCTGTCACAAGTTCATCACACTCTGTACACATGTAGTCTGGCCATCATTGGACCTGGACAGACCTGTCTCAAGTTCATCACACTCTGTACACATGTAGTCTAGCCAACATTGGGCCTGGACAGACCTGTCACCAGTTCATCCCACTCTGTACACTTGTAGTCTAGCCATGATTGGACCTGGAAAGACCTGTAACCAGTTCATCACACTTTGTACACATGTAGTCTAGCCAACATTGGGCCTGGACAGACCTGTCACCAGTTCATCCCACTCTGTACACATGTAGTCTAGCCATCATTAGACCTGGGCAGACCTGTCACCAGTTCATCACACTCCGTACACATGTAGTCTAGCCAACATTGGGCCTGGACAGACCTGTCACCAGTTCATCAAACTCTGTACACATGTAGTCTAGCCATCATTGGGCCTGGACATACCTGTCTCCAGTTCATCTCACTCTGTACACATATAATCTAGCCATCATTGGACCTGGACAGACCTCTCACCAGTTCATCACACTCTGTACACATGTAGCCTAGCCAACATTGGACCTGGACAGACCTATCACCAGTTCATCACTCTCTGTACACATGTAGTCTAGCCAACATTGGACCTAGACAGACCTGTAACCAGTTCATCACACTCTGTACACATGTAGCCTAGCCAACATTGGACCTGGACAGACCGGTCACCAGTTCATCACACTCTGTACACATATAGTCTAGCCATCATTGGACCAGGACAGACCTGTCACCAGTTCATCACACTGTACACGAGTAGTCTAGCCAACATTGGACCTGGACAGACCGGTCACCAGTTCATCACACTCTGTACACTTGTAGTCTAGCCATCATTGGACCTGGATAGACCTGTCACCAGTTCATCACACCCTGTACACATGTAGTCTAGCCATCATTAGACCTGGGCAGACCTGTCACCAGTTCATCACACTCCCCACACATCTAATCTAGCCCCCCTTGGACCCGGACAGACCTGTCACCAGTTCATCACACCCTGTGCACATGTAGTCTAGCCATCATTGGACCAGGACAGACCTGTCACCAGTTCATCACACTGTACACGCGTAGTCTAGCCAACATTGGACCTGGACAGACCTGTTACTAGTTCATCACACTCTGTACACATGTAGCCTAGCCAACATTGGACCTGGACAGACCTGTCCCCAGTTCATCACACTCTGTACACATGTAGTATAGCCATCATTGGACCTGGACAGACCTATCACCAGTTCATCACACTCTGTACACATGTAATCTAGCCATCATTGGACCTGGACAGACCTATCACCAGTTCATCACACTCTGTACACATATAGTCTAGCCATCATTGGACCAGGACAGACCTGTCACCAGTTCATCACACCCTGTGCACATGTAGTCTAGCCATCATTGGACCTGGACAGGCCTGTCACCATTTCATCACACTCTGTACACATGTAGTCTAGCCAACATTGGACCTGGTCAGACCTGTCACCAGTTCATCACACTCTTTACACATGTAATCTAGCCATCATTGGACCTGGACAGACCTGTCACCAGTTCATCACACTCTGTAGGCCTATTACATTTTTCACACAAGATTTTGGAATAGTTGACTAGCTTGACCTATATTTTAATGGTAAATGTTAAAAAAAATCTAGTGCTGAAATAAAATTTACTAGTCCGCAGCATTTGAGCTAGTAGAAAAAAATACATTCCTGCATGTTATTATACACTCTCCTAGGAATTTCTGAGAAATTTTTCAGGTTTCATATTATGTACCTATTACAGCTGGTGTATTACGCACATGGGTGGCTTATGATATTAACTTGGTGTGCTCCGTCCTGATGGATCAGTGGTCTAGTTATACAGATCTAACGCCACGCCTTATATATACAATATGCATAGACTAATTCATTGATTTAAAATGTTATCCACAAAGCTGTCTTTCTTTAATGTTATGTTGCATTTGTATGGCCAGATATATCTTTGATGTTCAACGACTCTCCTCAAGCTTTGCATTATGAATATTTTGGTTTTAGTGGAAATACTTTTGTACACCAGGTAAAAATTGTGTTTTACTGTGATTTCTTAGAATGAAGGGTGAGTGTATGCAGGAGGATGGTAAAGGTGTGGACTACAGCAAGCTCAAAGATTCTCCAAGCTTTAAAGAATACAAACAGGAGGTGGCCCAGCTACACGAAGTGGAACTGTCCGAGCTGACGGACACACAAACTAAAGTCTTCTTCATCAGTATCCTTTACGTAACTAAGTAACATGTGCCTATAACCCATCATTTCAGTGTAAACCATTCTATAACCCAGCATTTCAGTGTAAACCATTGTATAACACAGCATTTGAGTGTAAACCATTCTATAAACCAGCATTTCAGTGTAAACCATTGTATAACGCATCATTTCAGTGTAAACCATTCTATAACCCATCTTTTCAGAGTAAACCGTTCTATAACCCATCATTTCAGTGTAAACTATTGTATAACCCATCATTTCAGTGTAAACAATTCTATAACCCATCATTTCAGTGTAAACTATTCTATAAGCCATCATTTCAGTGTAAACTATTGTATAACCCATCATTTCAGTGTAAACTATTCTATAAGCCATCATTTCAGTGTAAACTATTGTATAACCCATCATTTCAGTGTAAACCATCGTATAACCCATCATTTCAGTGTAAACCATTTTATAACCCATCATTTCAGTGTAAACTATTCTATAATCCATCATTTCAGTGTAAACCAACCTATAACCCATCATCTCAGTGTAAACCATTGTATAACCCATACTTTCAGTGTAAACCATTCTATAACCCAGCATTTCAGTGTAAACCATTGTATAACACAGCATTTGAGTGTAAACCATTCTATAAACCAGCATTTCAGTGTAAACCATTGTATAACGCATCATTTCAGTGTAAACCATTCTATATCCCATCATTTCAGTGTAAACCATTTTATAACCCATCATTTCAGTGTAAATTATTCTATAATCCATCATTTCAGTGTAAACCAACCTATAACCCATCATCTCAGTGTAAACCATTGTATAACCCAGCATTTCAGTGTAAACCATTGTATAACCCAGCATTTCAGTGTAAACCATTGTATAACCCAGCATTTCAGTGTAAACCATTGTATAACACAGCATTTGAGTGTAAACCATTCTATAAACCAGCATTTCAGTGTAAACCATTGTATAACGCATCATTTCAGTGTAAACCATTCTAAAACCCATCATTTCAGTGTAAACCATTTTATAATCCATCATTTCAGTGTAAACCATTCTAAAACCCATCATTTCAGTGTAAACCATTGTACAACCCATCATTTCAGTGTAAACCATCGTATAACCCATCATTTCAGTGTAAACCATTGTATAACACAGCATTTGAGTGTAAACCATTCTATAAACCAGCATTTCAGTGTAAACCATTGTATAACCCAGCATTTCAGGGTAAACCATTCTATAACCCAGCATTTCAGTGTAAACCATTGTATAACGCATCATTTCAGTGTAAACCATTCTATAGCCCATCATTTCAGTGTAAACCATATTATAACCCATCATTTCAGTGTAAACAATTCTATAACCCATCATTTCAGTGTAAATTATTCTATAATCCATCATTTCAGTGTAAACCATTTTATAATCCATCATTTCAGTGTAAACCAATCTATAACCCATCACTTCAGTGTAAACCATTGTATAACCCAGCATTTCAGTGTAAACCATTCTATAACCCATCATTTCAGTGTAAACCATTCTATAACCCATCTTGAGAGACCACTGTCTCTCGTGTATGACCAGCTATTTCATCTGTGTGCGATCTTTTTTGTACGATCACTATTTTGTCAATGTGCCAACTCCTTTTTAGCACCCCGAAATTACAAGTGCATTAACTTCTTTGTTCAGCCCCTTTTGTACCAGCTACTTGAAAAAGCCCGGAAAAGTCCTCGACATTTTAGTATGCAGCTTTGAATTCCGACACATTGTGTAGCATAAACCTGTAAATTTATACGTTCTTATAAATACTTAGCTAATTACCTTAACCTGTAGATCTATACAATGCCCTGACTATACATGGCCTCGGCGTGATGGACACCCTACCTAAGTCAGTACTGGATGTCGGCCAGTTCTGGAAGATAACCTGCTACAAAATTGGGAAGAATGTGTACAGTTTGGATAACATGGAGCATGGTATTCTTAGAGGTAACATACTTTGTTAAGTTAGGAAATGTATGTGATGTAAACAACTCAAAATATGTAGACTTTTATTACAAAGAGGAGATCCACAAAGATGTAGACTTTTATTACAAAGAGGAGATCCACAAAGATGTAGACTTTTATTACAAAGAGGAGATCCACAAAGATGTAGACTTTTATTACAAAGAGGAGATCCACAAAGATGTAGACTTTTATTACAAAGAGGAGATCCACAAAGATGTAGACTTTTATTACAAAGATGGATTTCTCATGAATCTGATGCAATGAAATAATTCATCACCAAGTCTTTAACCGACACGAATTCTTACCATAAATGTTCATTTGTGAAATGACTACTGTTTGCCACTCAATGTGTATAGAGGAAAATCGTGATGTTTAAGATGTAGTTATAGTTTACCTTAAAGTATTTATTTACCTTCAAGTCCATTTGTTTTAACAATCCAGAAAATTATCACATATTTACAAAGTAAAACAGTGACATTTAACTAAATGCATCTGTTGCTAACCATAAATGACTTTAATACAACACTTTTGTTATCTGAGTTGAAATGATCTGCTTGTGTCATTTTCATCATGAATACAGACCATCCAATTGTAAATACACCAAAAAGTAACTGAGATAATTGCACTCTCTACATTTTACAACCAGACCTCCTCACACATCAGTTGTTAAATAAGTACCATTGGTAGATTTAGGTAGTTAAGAAATATCACTGATCTCTTCATAAAAGAAGAAATACTGTTGCATTTTATTAGTGACAGGATTAAATATTCTATATTGTTTATTTTGGCCTACAAAGATAATGTTATGTGTAAGAAAATCCTGGTCTCTCTATGTGGATATTATACTACATCTACTGAAGCCTGTATCCATTTAAGGTAACCGACCACACCCTGCCACAATAGACAAGCCGTTCGATTCTGATGACCCAAGACTCAAGTATGCTTTGAAACAATTGGACCCCCGTATTCACTTTGCTCTAGTCTGTGGAGCAGTGGTGAGTATATTATTTACCACAAAACACATTTAGTTTGGTGGAAATAAATAAGATCTTAAGTCATGTAAATTTATAAATTGAAGCTTAAGATTTTAAAAATCTGAACAAAATAAATAAAATTTACCGTGTTCTGTGTTCCCTATATCTGCGAGGAAAACAATTCTGAAGGATTAAGATAGTTTCTTCCGTTTTCACTTAAATTTCCTTCTTGTCTCACCTGCCCGAAGGGCAAGTGAGCTTATATTTATGCCATGGTGTGGTGTCCGTTGTCCATCTGTCCGGTGTAAACTTTTTACTTTAAACAACTTCCTCTCAGTAACCAAAAGGCCTAGGATGATGATATTTGGCCAGTAACATGTTCAAATGAATGACCTTCCTCAATTTTCAAGGTCACAGGGGTCGAATATGTTAAAATCTCTAAACAGCTTCTTATGAATAACCAAGAGGCCTAGGTTGATAATATTTGACCAGTAACATGCTGGGATGAAGGGCTACCAATTTTGTTCAAATAAATGACCTTGACTGTTTTTCCAGGTCACAAGGGTCAAATTGTTTTGAAATCTTTAAAACAATTTCTTCTCAGTAACCAAAAGGCCTATGATGATGATATTTGACCAGTAGCATGCTGGGATGAAGGGCTACCAAGTTTGTTAAAATAAATTACCTTGTCTGATATTCAAGGTCACAGGGGTCAAATATGCTTAAAACCATTAAACAACTTCTTCTCAGTAACCAAAAGGCCTAGGATGATGATATTTGGCCAGTAGCATGCTGGCATAAAGTGCTACCAAGTTTGTTCAAATGAATGATCTTCATCCATTTTCGAGGTCACAGGGTTTGAATATGTTAACATCTTTTAATGACTTCTTCTGAATAACCAAGAGGCCTAGGGTGATAATATTTGACCAGTAACATGCTGGATGATGGGCTACTAAGTTTGTTCAAATATATGACCTTGTCTTATATTCAAGGTCACATGGGTCAAATTTGCCTTTCAACATTTTTTTGTGAAAAACCAAGAGGCCTTGGATGATGATATTTGGCCAGGAATGAAGGGCTACCAAGTGTGTTCAAATGAATGACCTTCATCCATCTTCGGGGTCACAGGGGTCAATTGTCTTAAAAAACTTTAAATAATTTCTTCTGATTAACCAAAATGCCCAGGGTGATGCTATTTGGCCAGTAGCATGTAGGGATGAAGGGCTACCAAGTTTGTTCAATTGAATGACCTTCACTCATATTCAAGATCGAGGGGTCAAATATGTAAAACAAAAATCAACAACTTCTTCTGAATAATGAAAAGGACCAGGATGACAATATTTGGTCAGAAGCATTTTAGGATGATCAGCTAACTAGGTTGTTCAAATGAATGACCTTCATTCATATTCAAGGTCACATGGGTCAATTGTCTTAAAAATCCTTTAAACAACTTCTTCTGAATAACCAAAAGGTCCAAGGTGATGATATTTTGCCAGAAACATGCTAGCATGAAGGGCTAAAAAGTTTGTTCAAATTGATGACCTATACCTATATACAAGGTCACAGGTCAGATATGTTGAAAATCTTTAAATGACTTATTTTGAATAACCAAAAGGCCCAGGATGATGATATCTGGCCAGTAGTGTGCTTGAATAAAGGGCTATCAAGTTTGTAAAAAATTGATGACCTTGAATTATATGCAAGGTCACAGGGGTCAAATATGTTTTAAATCTTTTAACAACTTTTTCTGAATAACCATGAGGTTTTAAAAGTTGATATTTGACCAGTAACATATTAGGATGAAGGGCTACCAAGTCTGTTCAAATTAATGATCTTGACGATAGTCAAGGTCACATAGGTCAAATATGTTTGAAATCTTGGAACAACTTCTGATGAATAACCATGAGGCCCAGACTGTTGATATTTGTCCAGTAGAATGCTTGGATGAAGGGCTATCAAGGTTTTCTATTATAATGACCTTGACCCACTTTTAAGGTCACATTTGGTCAAGTATGTATTAACCTTTAATTGACCTAATCTTGATAAACAAAAGGTCTAGAGTGGTGATATTTGGCAAGTAGCATTGGAGATGAAGGGCTATAACGTTTGTTTAACGTTATGACCTTGTTTTGAAATCTTTTAACAGGTTCTTTTGAATGACTTTAAGTCATGAATACTGATATTTTGCCTATAGCTTTATTTTAGATCTCTTTTAAGGTTACAAGTGAGATATTAATACCAGGTGAGCGATGCAGGCCTATTAGGCCTCTTGTTTTCTTTCACTCACTTTTCTATACACATTCTTGTGCAGGAAAAAATTTAGGACATGTATTCAGCTTTGATGTCAATTAAGCTTTATTATGTCTTTTGTTGTATTTCTTGAGTTGTTATGTTTAAATAATTCACATGATGCTGAACCTTGTGTTGTTTCTGGTCCAGCTTTCTGGAAAACTTATTCATAATGCTGAATATTCTGCTTATCTCCTGGCCAGTCTTGTCCAGCCATAAACGTTTACACGGAGACCAACATTGACGCAGCACTGGATAGTGCCACCAAGAACTTCTGTGCACAGGAGGTGTCTATGTTCAATGAATTTGATGAAATCTGGCTGTCCCGCATCTTCCAGTGGTACAGGTCCGACTTTGGGGTCACAGAAATTGACGTCATCAAGTAAGCATGGGAGTAGGATTTCTGAAAACAATTCCTGCTAAACTTTGAAATTCTCTGGCTGTTTATGCATCAAGAAAGTCCTGGAGAATGAAACATTTTAGTTTATGAAAGTTGATTAATGTAAAAGTTCAGGGGAAAAAACGTTATGTTGAATGGTGCCATGTGAAATAGAATATTGAAAGACTTCATGCAAGCTGTATTGTATCCATGAACTTCTGTTGATAAAAGATAATTTTCTGCTTTCAGATGGACCATGCCATTCCTGGAGAAAAGTATTGCAGACCGTGCACATGTTATCCTGGCAAAGATAGAGAATGTCGGAAAAGTAAAAATAAATTATAACGAGTATGATTGGAGATTAAACCTTCCAGGATCACGACCTATCAACCTTTAATAAGGTCAAAAGGTCATGACATGTCATCTTATCAAAGTCAAAAGGTCATACCCTGTCAACATCACGTCAAGGTCAAAGGGTCATGTGTTGTAATTAACTTAGTTTATTCAGAATGCAGGCATATCTGCCACTATTTTCAGATCATAGCCCATATTAAGGACTAATCAAGGTTAACTCTACTCTTTTCTGAAATAAATCATTATGATTATCAAACTCTAGGGGGAAAAGATGCGGGAAGTCTAAAAGTTTATAATAGAAGTGACAAGATGTGATGGAACGACACTTACAGCATGAGGGGAATATCTTCCGCTATACAATCAACTCGTGTATTCTCATCCTAATGTTACATTTACTTATCTGACTTTTGGCTCACAGGTTCTAGGATACATGTTTAAGAGGAAATCATGTTAAAAAGTAGTTTATATTGAGTAGGGTTATTGGGTTAATGTATACAAATGATATCCAACTGATAATTGATGATGAATTATACCCAGTCTCCTGATCATTCTCAAATATTATCTATGGTCTTCAGAATAAGTTGGATATCAGATTACTCCCATAGTACCTAACAAGTGAAAACGTCAACTTTCTGTACTTGAACAGTATTGTTTGTACAAGACTTCAGCCTGCATGTCGGATGTCGTAAGGCATTGTAATGCCAGCAATACTAGTGTTATCATGATATATAATTACACATCTGTCTGAAATATGATAGCACAACCATCAATTTCTACTTTTCTGTATATTCAGTTATAAAACATTATTAATTTAAACATTACACGTCAGAGTCAGTAGATAATCAAAGAATTGCTGAGTTGAATTAATTTAAACATCACATATCAGAGTCGGTAGATAAACAAAGGGTTACTGAGTTGACATGCAGGATAAATTTAAATTCATGCAATAAATGTGGGAAAAAATGAATGTTCATCTTAAAATGAATGGAATTTAAAACACATGATATTACATGCGGAGAGGAGGTCTCTTCATTTCTATTTGTTCCTGGTATTAGCAATATTGATTTGAAAGTCATTTTGTATTTTGGAGCATTTATGATGAATTTCCTCACTACTTATTGATATTCCATACCAAGCAGAGCCCGGAGTCTGTCATTGTTGTTTTAAATGGTTATTTTTATTGTATTGTTGAGAGTTACATTTTATGTATTTTTATTTTTATTCATGGTTCACTCCATCAACTGATCATGCTAGTGGTTGAAGAACAAACCTAAAATCCATGTGTAAATTCCCTTAAAATGAAATTTCGCCATAAACATTCAAATTTTAATTGCATATACAACTTTTACTGAGTTATGTTTGATGTTATTTATAGAATTACTGTTAAGTAAGATACATCATTAATGAGGAACGATAGACAAAGTATCAAACAATTTTGAAGAATGTTGTTAAAAGACAACTGAAGTATTAGCTTCTGAAGTGGTAGCAGCTTCTAATAGAGCTGCATGAAACATTATTGTTAAGTTATTGTTATCCTGTTAGCCTGAGATTTGAAATGTTTGGCAGTTAGAGTAATTATAAAGCTTATGGTGTGGATATTGGATATTGAATATTGGATCACATTCATCAGTAAAACAAATAGCCAATTTGTCAAATGAAATTGTAAATAAAAAAAAAATATGTATCAACTAATATCAACAGGCAATGCATAGAAAATCTCTGGATTTTAATTTCACATGGTCCCAGGAAATAAACGATTCCAGTTACTTTGATACATAATGTGGTACCTCATTTAAAAGTGAGTTTGTATACTAAACAGTGAGTACCCAATCTTTACTATTCTGAGAGAGAAAACCCCAGCAAATTTGCCTTACTGAATTTTAGGAACCTAAATTACAATATTTCAGCCCACCAAATGGCATTGTTTATACAAGGGCATTAGTTATACTAGTTTATAAGCAGTAATACTGAAACATGCACTGACAATAAGTACCACAATCCCTAGTCATATTCCTATTTTTAATGGTACTTGTGTATATTTAATTGCTATACCTTTTTATGGATAGACTTAAATATAACTTGACCACATGTATATTTGGCTGGACCTTGCTGTCAAGGAGGTGAGGAGCATTGTTGGATATATAAATACACTGTTGAGGCCCGTGGACATTGCTGCAGGTCTGTTTCCTCTCAATCCTGAAGTAGTTGTTTTATAATCGAGGAACAAGCTATTTCAACAGTTCAGTTAAATGATCTAGTCTTCCTTAAGTCATGATCAGCTTGGTGTTTTACACAATGGATCAGACTTATTCCATGTCTTACCAGGATACTATACTGTACAGTTGTTGAATTTCACTGGGGGTTGATATTTCACAGCTGTCCCAATCAAAATAGTTTGTGGGGATCAAATTTTTCACGTCATTGCCAAGTGAAAATAATTGGCTATCACAATTGTACTTTTAGTAATGGGATTTTATAAATGTTTCCAGGCTATCACAATTGTACTTTTAGGAATGGGATTTTATAAATGTTCAAGGCTATCCCAATTGTACTTTTAGTAATTGAATTTTATAAATGTTTCAAGGCGATCACAATTGTACTTTTAGCAATGGGATTTTATAAATGTTCCAAGGCTATCACAATTGTACTTTTAGTAATGGGATTTTATAAATGTTTCACCAAAACCAAAGTAAAATAGGATATTGTACCGTTGTTTTATTTTCATTATTTGGCAGTAATGGGAAACAGGTGGGTGTTTTTTTATCTCTGAATCTTCATGGAGAATATTAATAATGGTATTAATATACGCTGGTATTCAATCTCGTGCTATCATTGGTGACTGAGAATACAAATGTATAGCGAAATGTAGTCCCCCGCCAATATAACCAACTATACAGTATAACAACCAAAGTCTTTGCTCTATATGATATGTTATTTGGTACTGGTAGACAGTACGTCAGCAATGTTTGTGGTATTTAGTGTTACAACCACCATTTTACTTTCTGTGTAATCATTTAAATATATTAATCATAATCTGAAAGTGGAACAACTATCATAAATGTTGTATCTTTGATTTTCTAGGAACAAATATAACAAACTTGTCTACTGTTGATTTTATTTTGATTGCATAATTTTAATATTGATGAAAATGTTTTTGATAAATTAGTAGTTTTCTAACTTTTGTGTTAATGATAGTTTATATGTAGTTGGGCTAATAGAACAATATATACCGACTAAACAGTCTAGTTAATAGGTTTGATAATCTGTTGTATCAGACTAAACAGTCTAGTTAATAGGTTTAATAGTCTGTTGTATCAGACTAAACAATATAGTTAATAGGTTTAATAGTCTGTTGTATCAGACTAAACAGTCTAGTTAATAGGTTTAATAGGTTGCTGTATCAGACTAAACAGTCTAGTTAATAGGTTTAATAGTCTGTTGTACATCTTACAATAGTTTAGTCTGTGGAAAACACTGGTATGATTAGCAGTACAAGTTAGTCTTAGTCCTAGAATTATAATTACAGACAATAACAGAACGTAGCGAAAGATTTTTGATGTGACAAGTTCTAAGGCCAATCATTACAATTACATGGATACAAACTACTTAGAAAGTAAAGTTAGTTTAACATTAATTCAATAGTCTCGCGACTTCTTTAGTGTAGCAGTTTATATATTTAAATCTAATATATCATTTTGCATTAAGATTGTTGTATTAACTTTCAGGTTATTTTGTTGTGTAGATTTAGCATGTTATTGTCTATTCCGTCTTTGCATATTGCAGAGGTATCTTCTCTTGAGAGCAGGTATTGATTGTTATGTCATTTGTTTTATGAGAGTAACGTCGTCAATTTTTGAGAAAACGACGTAATTTTCTCACGCAAACCAATGACGTAACAATCAATACCTGTTCTCAAGAGAAGATAACTCTGCAATATGCAAAGACGGTAAAACCCTTAAAATGTTGTTGGTTAGAAGTCTTGTTGATAGCATATATTTATTGTTTATCAAGTTCTTATACAAACATAAATGTACTTACGTTCGAAAGATTTTGTGATAGTTTAACAGTAAAATGGTGCTCTGTTGATGGAACATAATCCTGCTCTTCCCCTTTCTCTGTTTTGGGCGACCTCGGAGAAATACAGCATATATAAGCCTACGCATTGTTTTCATTGTTGTGAAGATAGCCCGATATCTACTGTCTAAATACTGGAAATTATTACATAGGATATAAATATCAGTATTTGGCTTTATCTGGTGACCTAATTAGAAATTTTTTTAATAGAAATCTGAACCTAGCAGCATATGTACATGTGTTGTGTAACGTACCATAGATCTTGTAGGTGACCAGGATAATATTGTCATAGAATTAACAGACCCATCATTATTCAAAATTTTGGATTATTTACAAAAAAAAAAGTTTTTCTCTTGTTTGAATAACACCTTACAACAAAACATGGCAATAAAGCTTTCTTCCATTGAAAAGCTTCCCTGTAATTTGAATTAATATTTGATATAGGGCATGAATAAACAACAAAACTCCTATGTACAAAGGCTGTGGCACTTAACACCTTTTAGTTGTAATTGACAAAATGTCAGTTCATGACTTCATCATTAAAAAGTGGGTTTTATTTATAACATTTACAACCATATAGTGCCAGGAACGACCCACTTCTTTGTCTTGAAATAGGAGAGGTTTTTGTCTTATTGGGGTTTTTTGGGGGTTTTTTTCTCAATAAATGTGTTCAATCAGATTTCAATCTCCTACATATTTATAAGGTTTGTTTATGTGTGTTAGGTACTGTCACCTGTGACGTTATAAATCACATGATTAGCTCTTGCATTTAAACTCCGTGATGCGGTTTTGTATTTTGACTTTGTTTTGAACCTACATTTCATACATCTTGTACGACCTTTACCAACTGAGTGTTATATTTTGTGTGTATTGTTAAACATTCCTAAACCCTATCGTAAGCATTGCTCTATGTGGTATATTGTTATATCAGTGGGTTTAATGTAAAGATGAGTAGTAGTTTTGGTTTACCGTTATGAGGTATTTTTTATGAGGTTTTCCTCGTGGACAGCAATATAAAAAATAGATATTAAGTTATGTAAAGTATTCAATGTATTGCTCAAATAAATGCTGTACAATAAACATGATCACTGCCCAGATATTGAAAAAGGTAATGATTAGCCAGGAAAGGGTGAAGTTTTTGATAAATGTGAAACTATATGTAATTAACTGGTAATTAAGTAGTTACAATTTAATAGGCAAAGTTAGTGTTAAATTGTGATAAATATTTAATAACATGCTATTAGTTAACCAATATAGAATTTAATAGGCAAAAATAGGGTTAACTTTGTGACACCTGTTTAATTATACCTAATTGACTATTAATTAACTAATGATGCATATCTAATTACTTGTGGTTATGGATTTTAATTTATATTTTGTGATTTTAAGTGACAGGGTGGCAAGGAACTTATATTAATACCGATGATGCTATCCATTTTATTGCATTCCCTTGCAAACAGAATCCCAAGCTTTCCTACTAAAGCTAGGATATCCAGGGAAAATCCTTGGATATCCTTAAAATTACCTCCAACAGCTCATCCCAGCTGTTAGCCTCAGCCTGGCCTAGAATATTCCATGGGATTTTGGCAAGTTTTATCAGAAATTATGGATACAACTACAAAGTACACAACTGAATTGATCACATTTCTCTGATCATAATCATCAAGTCTTTACATCGGGCAAGCATAGACTCCCAATCTTTGACTAATGATGTCAGTTTTAGTGCTTGATTACATGTTTATTAAGACATCAATAAAATAGAAAACATGAATTAGTGATATAAATTACAGGGCATCTGTCTCTATACCTGGGCCATTACATCAAATGCATCAGTATTTTCAAAAAGAATGGTCAAAAGTTTAAGTTTCCTGGGAATAGTAGAGTTAGGTATTCCTTTTATAATCCTTAAATGTGTAAGTAGATCTTTATTTTGCTATATTATGGGGGAGGTACTAGTCAATCAACTTTCCTGATCCCTGTATCATCAAATTCAAGTATTTGTAAATTATTTAGAATATTCAATATGATTTATATCAAATTATTTATATCATATTTATAGTTTCTTTTGTTATTATAGTAACAATAATGTCATATCTACTGGCTGAAATTAATATTTACAGGGTGTCATATTTATATGTTGAGTGTAGTATTAAATTGGTTGAGGCTAGCTTTGGATGGTTTTCCTTACACTTAACCATTATAAAGCCCATTATTGTAATACACAAATATAGGAATACACTACATTGTGTCATCATGGTACATTACAGTCACAACAAGGACTTTGTTGAATTAAGATTACCTCGGTTAGAGTCTGTTGTCTAAATTTTCTGTTTTTGATTTATGTTGTAAGAAACTTTTATAATCTACACCAGTTGATAAAAGATACTACAACAATAGATCAGGCCTGATAGAAGAAAGGTGATGATGGTGTACCAGGTAAAGGCTGAAGTGTTCATGCTAGCTAGCTACATAATAGCTACACCATCTATTCACTGATCATTATAGCCAGTTGCTTTAGACCATTGGATTCTGCAACTCGTCTTAGATAGAAATATGTACAATTTACAACATTAGATTCCTAACTGTTGTTTTAGTTTAAGAATAGCATTGTTTTAGAATACATAATAGATTTATGTAATATAACTTGTATGAGGTGCTGTTGACAATGAAAATGAGCCAATTTTTGCCAATTTTTGATATCTGATATTTTCTATACACTTTTCCACCAGTGCATAATTGCTATTTAATGTGATTTGTTTATGATGAGGGTGCTGTTATACACCAGATATATTTAAAGTACACAAGGTTATCGGGTCAACAACACAGTTGTGGAGTTTTACATATTATGTGGAAGGTCAGTTTTTGTTTGAAAAACTAATAATCCATTCAGTTAAAAATATGCTTTTTACAATGTAATGAAATGTTATATAAGGAGTGAATACAAACAGAACTAAATCAATGAAATCAAAATTATGTAAGGTATGAAACATAATGACTTTACCTTTGTTTTATGTTGTAGTTATAACCGCGAGTATAACTTGCCCTTCTCGTCCACTGACAACATCTGTGTCTGACCAGTATAGGCTAAACATGGAGTATAGTATTACATTGTATCCCTATACTATGAAACTATTCAAAACCGTCATGCTAAAATGTTTTATTTGATTTAAATTCAAATTACTGAGTAAGGTGCTTAGATTCAATTCCAAGACAAGGCATTTTACATCATTTCTGAATCGTTAAATTTTAAAGAAGGCATATTACTTCAGAAATCCAAAAAAGTTTGTGTTAGAAATTTATTTATCGTTAAACAAAGATAACTTAAGATTCCTGCTGTGCAGTAATTTGAATTTCATGGCAGATTTGTTGGGGAGTTAACTACCTATAATAGCTGATAGTCTGAACTAGCCGACACACTGTAGATATATATTTATACACATACAGTAATACAATAAGTAAGGCTACACACTGTAGATATAAAT